CATATACACACACACACACTAATCACACCACACATGACTCAAGCTTCAGTCTGAATATTACTGACACACACACACTGACTCTCTCTCTCTCTCTCTCTCTCTCTCTCTCTCTGCAGGTAACCCTGGTTTAACCCCGTGGACACACACACACACACACACTGATCACGGCTTGGCCATCCAGCAGACCGGCGACTGCAGACTCCAGCAGTGCAGCACTAGATAGGGAACGAACACAGAAGAGCACTAGATGAGGAGTGAGAGACACCTCCAGCACTGGGGAGAAAGAGCAGCCGCCAATCACAGGGCTTCATCTGCACATCTACTGTTACAAACACACACACACACACACGTATACACAGACACACACTCACTTCGTTACTAAACACACACATACATACATACATACATACATACATACATACATAATTTCTGAACACACACTACATTATTGAACACAGACACACACACACATCATTGCTGAAAACACACATGCACAAACACACACGGTCTCGCACACACACACACACTAACACATTCACATACTTCATTACTGAACTCACACACAGATCCTTTATTACTGAACACACACATACTTTATTATTGATAACTCACATATTTTTTCCATTGATGTACAAACACACACACACACACACACACACACACACAGGGGTCCTTCATTTCTAAACACACACTTTTTTTTACTGAACACACACAAGCATACACACATACACACACACACATATACAGCACTTCATTACTAAACACACACACACACATAGATTCTTGCCTTTGACTCTGAGTTGTTTATTGGGAGTGAGTGTGTTCTGCATGGTGACCAGTGTTTACTGCACTGCACAAATCAGCCTAATCAGGACTCTTGCCTTGTTTACTCACACACTGATAATTTACCCACACACAAGTCTCATATATGGCCGAATATGCAAATTACATAGATGACAAGCACGTTCATATTTGGATTTTACACGTGTGTGTTTATATATGTATATACACACACACACACACACTGTAAGCAAACGCTGGTTCCACATAAGCCATTTGTGTGGGGACAGTATGAAGGAATTAAGGTTACCCATTAGTTTTTACAAATTTGAACATAAAATAATGAAGTTGCAGCAGGAAGGTCGCTGGTTCGAGTCCCGGCTGGGTCAGCTGGTGTTTCTGTGTGGAGTTTGCATGTTCTCCCCGTGTTGGTTTCCCCCACAGTCCAAACACATGCGCTATAGGGGAATTGATGAACCACATTGGCCGTAGTGTATGAGTGTGTGTGTGTGTGTGTGTGTGTGTGTGTGAATGAGTGTGTATGGGTGTTTCCCAATACTGGATTGCAGCTGGAAGGGTATCCACTGTGTAAAACATATGCTGGATTAGTTGTCGATTCATTCAGCTGTGGAGATCCTTGATTAATAAGGGACTAAGCTGAAGGAAAATGACTGAATGAATAATTAAGTTGTCCCCCCAAAAACCTCGAGTCGTGTCGTTTCAGCTTATTTTAAGTAGTTTGAACTAACAGCAAGCGTCATTTATATAGCAATATATCTGTTT